GGAGCAGAGTGCAGCTGCCTCAGAAAGGTTAGTTCTCTCCAAGGCTCTGTCATTTATGATTTTTGTGACGTCTGTATTAACCTGTTGTTGGTACTGTGTTTGCACGCTGCGTGTAAGGCATAGCAACAAAAAAAAGCTTGCCCTAAAGAACTTAGCTCAAAACTTCAGAGGAAAAGAAGCAGAAAAGTTACAGCAAAAGGCAAGATGTCTTGAAATTAATCTCTAGCTCAAGAAAATACAGTCCCAGAAGGGAACAATTAGAGATTCCAGATACAGAAAAACTAATTGAAAATACTTCTGTCAAGATTAGAGAACTTTCCGTCACACATTTATAACCAAGCTGCTGATGTAGCTGGTTTGGCACAACCTCTGGGCCTACATTTTTATTTGTTCCCCTGTGATGTGCTGGGATCCAGTTCATTAACTGAATTGCATCGTGCTCACTCAGATTTACCATCCTATATAGATTTTAGACTACTGCAAATTCATATACATTATTCAGTCTTGAATAATGTATTTTAAAAAAAAAGTATTTCACAGTTTAGTGATATATCTTTCCTTCCATTCCAGCTCTGATCAAAGCCATGGCCCCAATGTACTTCTTTTAGTCCTGGGCCCTGTTGGTGCTGTGCTCCTGATTGTTGCGACAGCTTTTGCCGCTTTTAAATACAGGCAGCTGAAGAGATCTGGTGAGTCCCAGCCTTTTCTAGTCTCTCAAGAAATGTCAGCAATATTAAGGCAATGGCGATACCTTGTGCACGCTGCCATCTGTGCTGGGCTGAGCTGCTCCCCTGGCACCCCTGCACGTGATGGGCAGACAAGGGACCCTGCTTCTCCCACTGACCCCACCCATACGGCTCCAACACCCCGCTTACAGGGTGCCCAGGCTGAGACACAGACCAACCCTCTGTGGGCTTTGCACGTGGCATTGCACGGTGTCTCCTTGCACAGAGGCAGTTTGGACACCAATGCGCTTGCACCGACTGAGCAAGCACGCAGGGTTATTTATCTCCTCCCTCTTAACAGACCTCGTGTCCGTCGGGAGCTACAGGACAAACATCAGCATGTCAGACTTCGAAAGCGTGAAGGAGTACAGTGCAAGCAATAACGCCTGCGTGAAAGAGAGCCAGGAGACTCAGATAGGAGGGGACGGTAGGTTGCTGACTGATGGGCTTGCTCTCCATCCCCAGCGCGAGAGGTGCCGGGGAAGGGGCTTGGGACCCTACAAAAGCCCCAGAAATCCCTGCCCCCAGGCCCCCCCCCCAACCCAACCCCTCCCTTTCTCTTCCTGCAGAGTTCATCGCCACCACGGCCACCCCAGAAAGCGCTGCCGAGACAAAGAAGGCAAAAAGGGTAAGAGGAAGCAGGAGAGAGCCCACTGACCTGGGAGGCACCGCCGCAGCCCTCCAGCCTCCGCCGAAGGAGCTGCCTTCTCCCAGGGGCCTTATTTATACCCAGGTGCTCTCCATCGTACCTGGATCCGGCCACCTGCTGCAGATCAGCCTTCATGGGGGACCTTAACCCTTTCCTGACCCCACTTTTTCGCAGAGACAATAATACAGCACACCAAGTCAGCCCCAGGTAGTGTCAGGAAGGTTGGGGTTGGGTTGTTACCATAAATATGAAACCCTGGGATAAGCA